GAAATACATTTATTTATTGCTCACTCTCTTGAGTATCAAATTATATAACGATTTAAATCTTGTTTTTATAGAAGCCTTGAAAACTGTGTTAACGGAACAGCAAAATAAATGTTCAGATAATGTGTTTGGAAAAACATTTCAATTAATTTCTATATGAATAAAAACACACATTATTTATAATACAAAAACTAAAACATAAGTTTGAAAATAGAAAAAACTTTTAAAAGAAACTATTTTTGAGAACAATATGTGACCCTTTGATAAGAAAAATAAAGTTAACATATATTCTGGCAATAAATGGCAAACATTTAACACTTTAAATGTATTCAAAAACAGTTTTGTTTGCCATTACTTTTAAAATACAAAATTTAACTTCAATTTCAAGAACTAATTGACAAAAACGAAAAGAGTTCAATGAATCCGTAAATTAATTAATGGATTTAAAGTCTCAAATATGATTAAATAAAGACTAAGTCAACACAGAAATGATTTCAAATCAAATACACTATTAAACAAAATATATTACAAAATGCAATGAAATGATATAAAGTATGATTAGTGAATAAAAACTTCTTTTTATTAATAATAATAATTATATTCTTAAATACATTATATTACCGTACGGTATACTGATTTTTATAGATGTTTTATTATTATATTACGGTTAAATATATAAAGTATGATTAGTGAATAAAAACTTCTTTTTATTAATAATAATAATTATATTCTTAAATACATTATATTACCGTACGGTATACTGATTTTTATAGATGTTTTATTATTATATTACGGTTAAAAACTTTGCAATTTTACTATAATGTCATTTAAGTGGTTGTTTGACATAAAATTTAATTATAATAACAATTAATTAATGTTTTGCTGGGTTTTGATTAGCAATTTACAAAAAAGGATAAAATACTAAAAATGCGTTTTCATAAGAAATGGTAACAAATCTGCAAATGCTTTTCACTCGAGTGTCGGTCTGTCGTGAAAGTCATTTTCAAATCTCTGTTCAATACAATTAAAGCCGTCAATAGTGTGTCAGTCAATCAGTCTATTAATTGTCCCCAAAAACACAAATTAATGACAAAAACTAAATGTATTCATGAATTGTGAGGAAAAGTGTTTAAAAAAGAAAATGTGAGGAAAAACATGAATGAATATTCAATGACTAATAATAATGTAATAAATTGCAAAATTAGTGATCATATTGTATGGTGAGAATGGATTGCCGTTGAAAATAATTATATAAAAATGAGATTTAATTTCTTTATAAATGATTACTTTATATATAAGAATTGACACATAAATCAAAACAAACAAAAAAAATCAAAATCCATTGATTACTTACGAATTACTTTTTAATTAATAATAAAAATGTATTCAAAAAAATTGTGCTCTCATTCGACTTAATTAGTTAATAGATAATAATTAACTGAATGTCTAATTAATCACTAATTTGTGTCCGAAAATAATAAAAACATATTTTTGGGATAAAACGAGTAATTAGTTGGTTGTTAACTACTCAATGAATTCTAGACTTTCTGGGACTGACCGGAAGTACTTTAATGTCTTTCTCGTCCACCATCTCCTCCAACTCGGGTCTCAGCGCCTCCGGGAGTATGAGTTTGGCCTTTTCGAGCGCCTGGCGGTCCAGAGTCTGGCCGTTCTCTAACTTCTCTAAATGATAGGCCAAACCCATGCGCTTCAAAACCTCGATGTCGTCGTGTATTTCGAAAGTGTTGTCAAAATTAAACAGATATTCAGTTTTGTCGTTAGAAATACTGCAGTCAATGACAGTCTTCTTCTCGGTGTTGACGATAATAAATGGCAGCGAAATGAGTGCATTATTGGCCGGCACTGAACCCATGGTTTTGTTGCGTTCAACCAATTGCTTGAATGCTATTTGTTGTAACAAAAGGTCTCTTAACTGCTGTTTCTTCACATTAATCCGTTCCAAACGCTTCTCCCGTTCCGACTCCAGTTCCAGGCATTCCTGAGCCGCGTTAGTGGGAAGTCCTATCCATTTGATCTCCTTTTTCTCCTTTGATATGATATTCATAGCCATCAAAACATTGAGGGCGTCGTACACCCGACGCCTTATGTTTTTCTGGTCAAAGGGCTCCTGGTCTCCGGGCATATACCCGCCCTGGAAGGCCGCCCGACTCGCGATAGGGTCGCTGCTAAACTCGGCCACCAACTCGTCGGCCACTTCATTATAAGTGGTCGACCCCTTCAGCTTGACTTTCTCGCAAACCTGGAGTTACAGTCATTTCAGTTACAGTTATAATATAATTATATATTCATTAATTAGTTGTAATCATTCATTACTACAATTCACTTCAATATTCATTAACTATTTGTTTGCTTTTCAATCCTATTATAAACGGTTACGCGTTTGAGACATATCTGCCTTTAAGTGGCATTCATTTGGAGGTTAAATGAAATTCAGATTGTTTTTCAAAACTAATCTGTTTTCGAGATTTGTGTCAATAAATAGATTTGAGATCAAGAGTGGAATATAAATGGATTAAAATAATTACTCGTAAATAGATTTCTAAATCATTGACTCCTTGCGAGTAAACCAATCATTAAAAGTCAAACTATTGTTGTTTTAAATTGATTGAGAAATAAGACAATAAACGACTCCTTAATTGAGTCAATCATTACATGAATTAAGTATTAAGAAAATCAAATAGAGAGCCGATAAGAGGGCACAACAGTTAAGACAATTAATGGCACAAAGAATTGATCCAAATATGCATTAATTAATGGAAATTTCATTCAATAATCATAGGATTCACTGATTGAATAGCAAACGCAGACAATGAGACCATTGAGTGAATGGTTTGAAAATGGGTTACAAAGGGGTGAAGACAAAGAGCTCGACAAAGACATGGATGTAGTGAAGTGATGGAGGGCTACCTTCATGGAGAAGTGTCGCAACCCTTTGCCAGTCTTGGGGTCCTGTTTGCGTCTCTTCATGGGAATGGTTTGCAACGAATCCATATTGAATTGGTTGAACTGATTGGTGGCGGCGCCCACCAGTGAGGCGAACGCGTTGTTCCGCGACATCGATGTCGGCGAAGAGTTCACGAGTGATCCGAACTGAGAGCTGGACGTGTCGTCCATGAAGGAGACGACCGACGACTGGCTCTGAGGGGCGCTCTTCGAGTGGAGGATCGACGGCGTCTTCGCCGACGACGGGAGGCCAGCGTTGGACACGACGGCGCCGCCGGTCTGAGGGGTGGCAGCCATGCCTGTGATGAGGGGTGAAGTGGAGGAAGGGTTTGAATGAGTGGTGAAGTGGAGGAAGCGTTTGGATGGCTTACCGGAAGTGTTGCTCTTGTGGTTGAATGCGTGGTGTTGTCCACTGTTTTGGCACATTTTGGCCAAAATGAGTCCCGCGTTGACTGCGGCCGAGTGGGCGCCGCCTGTGTCTCGGGCAGAGGTGGTGCCGACCCCTGGGGTGCGCCCACCCGTCACGGACTTACGCGCCGATCGAGGCATCGGAGGGCTCGCGGGCTATGACTCACTCACTGACCGATCAATGCCTGCATTAACACAACAATAAGCCATTGATTAATGCATTGCCTTTTCTGACATACTTGGGCCACAGGTTTGTGATCAAACTATGTTTGTCTTACAGTGTCCGCAGTGTTCACACAGAAGTCGTTTATTAATGGCAATCAATTTAATTACTATTTAATTGCCGTTAAATCAAGCATTTGGTCGCAATTCATGTGAAAATATGTCTGTTTTTTGGCTGAAGTGTTGAAACTGTTGTCGCAATTAATAATGCATTGAATGCCGCCTTTTAAGGCTCTCACACACCGACACAAACCCGGTATCTGTGCGCACATATCGCTCACT